ACAATATGTGCAAAACTTATCAATGCATATTTTTTCATCATCCTCCCTTTCATAAAAACTACTCCTTTTTTGTGGGACAACAAGTTCGCCCAACTTCACTCTGATTATACCATCTTTGTTATGGGTAGTAATTACTCACTAGTGTATGCCCTAAAAAGACCCCCAAAAACAACCATAAAAAAAGAGAAGAAGAAGGGATCCAGTTCATGGAGAACAGCTACACCCTACCAAATTTGGTTGGTCACTTTTGGGACACAACACAACCAATCTAGAGAACATACAATTATTTGCCTGCTTTAATATAATTAACTCATATCTCTCTGTCATTTTTTTTAATCATATTTCATTGTCGAAATGCCGAAGAAGGAAGAGGCTTAGGACCATTTGATGAAATCCTGGCTGTTTCATGCTCATCATCTGGATTATTAGGTCACCTGCCCTACCAAAAAACACTATCCCTTTCCTTACCTTCTCTTTATATCTCGATCACGATTTGATGCATGCAACCTCAATCCAAATCAAAAGGAGAGATAATGTTAAAGATAATCTAGTTTAAAGAGTGCTAGCTAATCTAGTTTAAAGCAAACCTTAATTAATCCCAGCTCCCAGGCAAAGATAAAGGTTTTCGACTCTCGTGCTCGGCTCGCCAAATGAGTTTAACGTGCAAAAATAGAGTTCAACTGATAATAATATCGACTGTAGCTCAATCTCGAGCTCGAACTCTGCTCACGAGACATCAACAGCAGACACTTGAAGGCTTTCGAGCTAGTTCGCTAGCCTATCAAGCTAAACATGTCATGGCTAGAACTCGACTTGTTTTATAGACGGGTTTGTTTGCGAACCGGCTCAAATAAAGACGAGTCAAGTGCCGAACGAATTTTTCTCAAATAAAACGCAGAATTATTCATGAGAGACTTGATTCATTATCAGCGGTTAGCCGGTTACCTGTAAATTGGAAGAATGGAAAGGCTGAATCGGTATTGGGCCCGATGGTCCAGGTTAACTTAATCACCCCACCCATCCTCAAACTAATGGGCCTGGATCATGACCAAAGAAAATTGCTCTCAACTGGACTTGATATATATAGTTCACAACTCCCTAGTCCCTCCCTACCTGCTTCTCCAAAATTCAAGTACAAGTTTTAGATTCAAACTCTAGAGGCAATATTAGGTAAAAATATATTATATTATTCCCCTACTACTACTCACTATGACGCAGATGCAACGGGTTGAAATTGTTACTATGGTAATTACTAAATCAAATAAATTTAAATTCTATTAATCATAAAATATATTATCATAACAAAATTGGACAAACTAACCAATAAGGGTTTGTTCAAGTGGTAATACCACTAACCTTGAACCTGAAAATCTCAGGTTTGAATCTATTAAGTAGTATCTAACCATAAAAGTAAACATATATTACCCTTATCTAAAAAAAATCGGCCAATCTAATATAACAACCAAATAAACCGAACTAATGTTAATTAGTTTTGTTAATTGGTTAACTTGGTTAATCAATATTACATAACATTACCATGACGTGAGAAAATCTCATGTTAATGCATCAATCTCTAATTTATATAAGGAATCAAACATAACAATCAACATATACTTAATCCTTAACATAAATACATACAACTAATAACATTATCTTACAGTCATTAGAAGTATCCACCTAACAAAATTACAAAAATATATTTCAATGGTATGAGGTTAATGAATTGGACGCGACTGTGTGAATTGTCTTAGTCTTTTAGAAATTATCTTAGGCTGAAAAAGTTATTCTCTTGGTTTGATTGGGTTAGGACTGTGTGAAACCAAACCACCTGAATCAAACTAACTAAACATTTTAATCAGACCAAACCAATTAGCCAAATCATTCCAATACAACTGATTAAAATGGTTACTACAATAACCACTCCGTTTGAACAACCTTGGTTGAACAAAAAGTTGGAAATGAGAAAATGTTTCTCTTACATTACTATTATCGGGAAAGAAATTCTTGTAGTGGATTATGTTGTTATTAAGAATTTTAATTTTCTCAATCCAATTCTTATTTCGTTTTTTAGTTGATTGTTGATCTCAAGATTCGAATTGAGAGTGTGTTGTAACTTGTATATTCCCATCCTCACATTATCCTTTAATTTATTTTGTTTATTGGGTTATGTATGTTGTATGATATTATTGAGTTCTCACGATGTCGTTGGATTAATATTACAGGTTATGATGTTTTAATGTTGTAGTGTTTTCCGGCGAGGAAAAACTAGTGTTTGAACACAATAATGCACCTTTGACTTCTTGAACAACGATTCTAAACACGGTTCACTCCTCTCCGAACAATGTTCGAACGAGGGTGTTTGATGTTTTTTTATGGTTTTTTGGGAACAAACTAAGTTAATTACACCTACTCCTATGGAGGTTCAGTGAGAGCTCCGAAAACTAAGGCTATGGCTAATTTGCAGAGAGAGATAAAGTTTGACATAGTGTGTCAAATGGTTGGTTGTGGAACCATTGCTTTGTTTTTGTTTCTCCTATTTATAGCCATCCCTTGTAAGCGTCATGTAACCGCCCCTTGGTAACCGCTGCTCCATTGCTTGGTGCTTGATGTAGCTTGCTTGACGCCTTGACTGTTTGACCCCCCTTGTGGTTGGATCTCCATACTTGGCCAAATTTTGGCTTTCTTCACTACCATGGTCTAGGGACTCCCTTGCCAACATGCTTGATACCCGGTAGGCGGCTAGACCCCCTTGCGTCTCGTCATACTCGACTCACCTTGGATGGTATTATGCTTGACCCCCTTGGACGATGTCATGCATGACCCCCTGGTGCAAGGTAGGTAGATGACATAGTGCTTGACCCCCCTGGGATGATGTCATGCTTGACCCCCTGGTGCTATGGGTCTCAACACTTAGCCAAATTTTGTCTCTCTTTGCCATCACGGTCTAGCGCGATGACCCTTTTGCATGACATCATGCTTGACCCCCTTTCTGCTGTGGGTCTCAACACTTAGCCAAATTTTGGCTTTCGCCCCATCATGTCTAGGGGTAATTACCCGCGAGGTAGGTAGGAGGCTGGTGGGGCGAAATTTTGGCTAAGTATGATGGGGTGCCCACTTGGGTGGTTGATGTTGAAGGGTGTCCAACACGCTTGACACTTGACCCCTCTTGGGTGACGGATGGCTGTTTGGTGGGTCAAGTAGTGTGTGTTGAGGTACCTGGTATGAAGCCCAAAATACCATCATTTAGGCCCAGCTTAAACCAATTTAATTAATATGGTTAAGTTGGCCTTATAAATCACTACCACTCCTTGAAAATAATCAATGTGGTATTGAGTGATTTTTTAGTGGTAAACATGTAGTTTCATAAAAGGTACACAATAGTATAATATACCATTGAATTTGAATATATAGATAACTTAATGAAGAGAAAATTCATATGATCTATAGGTCACATAGTCATACGTTTATCATATGCATGATGCATTTCATCTCTCTCCATTGATATTAAGAAATTTGAGTTGCAAGATCATCTTCAAATTTCAAAATCCATAAACTGAAAACGGAGTTACATTTTGTAGGATAAGGGTTATGGAAAACGTAATTTGTGTTTGGGTTGCCACAATTAGTACTATTCACCTTAAAAACTGATTAAATATAATTATGGATACGCGTATGCTACATTATTGATTTTGGATGTATATTTTATAATCATCATTTTGATTCGTCGAATCCATTTGAAATTAATCTCAATTTTCAATTGTATGACAATGAACAAAGTTGTGTGCGAATTTACTTGAAAGTCATGTACGATTTACATTGATATTGGGTCGTTTGAATGCATCATTTTGCATGTGTGGTATTATTGACGAAACTTATCCATTATTGTTATTAGTATTAGAAAAAAAATTATGTGTTATTGGAGAACACGATATATTTTGGTAAAAATAACTCGTTGCAATAACTCATCCAACAAACCATCAAGTATTCCCGAAACTTGCTCGGTACAACTTCATAAATGAGAAATTCATCTAATGATAATCATTACACGAACAAATTTTATGATTATAAGTACATATCATTTCTATTTTAATGTTATAACAATCGTATTAAAAAATTATTGATCATTAAAATTTAATTATTATTAATTTAAATTGTATTGTACATAACTAAGTCGTTTGGTTTCGGTGATAGTTAAATAGATGTATTGTCATCAATGCATTCATAATAATATACATGTATATACAAAAATTAGTGTATTGTAGTATACATCGTTTGGTTTTTGTGGTAGTAGTTGTGTCATTTAAATAAATTATATTACTTTTTTGGATGAAATGTCACTTTTACCCTTTCTTTTTAATATAAAGAAGCAACACACATAAAAAGGTAATGACATAGTTGGAAGAAAAAAATAATCAAATAATCTCAACAATTTCACAAAAAACTTGAGATTTAACTATTACTCATTTTGAGTGATAGTTTGTGTCAAATCAAGCAAACAATGCATGTATTGTTTGTGCATAAAATTCAAAAAAATATACATTGTGAATAATACATACATTGTAACCATCTCAATCAAACAATCACCAAAACCAAACCGCCCCTAAATTCAAGAGTAATCTCACGAGCCCGTATGGTTGTAGTGTGGCTATTTTTTAACAAAAAAAGTTGTATTTAATAGTACAGTCTGACTGAAGAATCTTCTCCTAAATTTCATTTCTGATGTCCCTGGATTAAGCCTCATTTAATACATTTCAGTTTCTCCTTTTTACTTTCTCTTTAGGTCATCAAAAGGTTTGCAAGGAAAGTCAGAGCTCCACATAATAATGGTGGCAGGCAAGAAAACCCAAACCCCAATTGCCAGCCAAAGTGGATAATTTCCAGGCAAATAATAAATTGGATTTTGACGAAAAACCAAACCCAAAGAAATGGAAAGAGAGACTGAGAGAGCATTCCATTTAGGCCGTCTATAAGGCAAAGCCATCCTTTGCTTTCTCCTTTCTTCTTCCCCTTCCTCTTCCCTCTCCCCACTGTGTGAAAGAAAGGTTTCAACACTAAGCAAAGTTCTCCCCTTTTCTTTATTGCCCTTCGTTTTCTCCCATCTCCTCTTTTATCTACTTTTCTCATCTCTCTCGGCTCACCCTTTTCGAAAAGTCTCCATCTTTCATCATCTCCTTTCCCCCATAACATTCTCTCTCTGCAGAACCCTCTGCGCCATCAACAAACAAACAAAGAAACCCTTCTGCCTTTTTCCTCTGCATAACCCTCTCTTCAATCCTTTTTGTTCTCTTCTGGGTGTTTCTTTAATTTAATCAGCAGGGGTTCAAAAGGGTAGAAGGTTATACTAGAAGAGAACAAGTGAAGAGTTATGTGGGAGGAGAAACAGCCACTTAGATCATCTCCTTTCAGAGAATCCCTCAAAGCCCTTGAAGCTGATATTCAACATGCCAATACCTTGTGAGTCTCAACAAATTCCTCTTCTCTTTTTGTTCAATTTGGAACCCGTTTTAAAAAAAAATTGTGGGGTTTTTCTGTTTTTGGTCTAGTGGATGGATAGTTGGTTTCTTCTTCCAATTGGAGTAGGTGAAAGCAGGAATTTGTGGGGAAAAAAAAAGTTGGTGTCTTGGGAATATGGTGGCGGTATGAACCTGGCAGAAATTGTTGTTCTTTAGAGAAAGAATCCTTGGAAGCTTCAACTTGGAATCTCTTAAACATTGAAAGCAAAAATAACAAACAAGGAGAGATTCGATTTAGGGGCTTCGAAGAAGGAGAAAGGGAAAGTGCTCCTCTCTCCGTCACAGCCGCCATGGCTCCGCCTCCCATGAACCCCAAGACGAGCTCGAAGGCTACAACAGAAAACCAAAACATACAACACCATCTTAGGATTTTGTGTGTTTTTTCTTTGTTTGTTCAGAAGGGTTTATGAAAGTTGTCTGTTTTTTGCAAGTTTCTGCAGAGGTGCACTGTTGTGTTGGACCCTTTTGATGTGAATTTGGGCATCACAATTAGGATTGAATTGATTGATTGTTGATATATGGCTTTTTCTGGTGGGGGTTTATGCATTGCAGGGCAGCTTCTCTCCCGGGAGATTATGGTGGGGATTGTGTACAGATGAGGGTTTCATACAGTCCAATTGCTCCCTACCTTCTGTTCTTGGTTGAGTGGATGGATTACAGTTGTACTGATGCTCTCCCGAGCTACTTAGGCCTGCTCCATATTCTTGTTTACAAGGTGCGCAATTCGTTATTCATTCTGCCTTGTGATATGTTCAAATGTGAGGTTTAGTGTATTCTGCATACAGAGCTCATATGAACTGTCTTGCTTTATCCAGGTTTACATTGATGGAGTGCCGACTTTGTCTTCTAAAGAGAGGAAGGCTAGCCTAAGGGAGTTTTATGGTCCGGAACTTCTTTGCTAAGCGATTATTCTCGAAACACTGCTTAACTGATTATCTTGATAATCTAAATCTGGGATGGAATGTTCTGTTTTGCAGCCATTATATATCCTTCACTCAGGCAGCTCGAAGGTCAGTTTGTGGAATCAGAAGATACCCACAAGAGAAGTCGGGGCAATGAAGTCTTAACCAGGAAGAGAGCAGAGGACAGGAGAAGGCTAGCCGATAATAATGAATTCGAGCGAGATGATGAATGTGGGATATGCATGGAGAATGGTGGGAAAATGGTGTTACCAAATTGTGGGCACTCCTTGTGCATGAATTGCTTCCACGATTGGTAACTTCTCAGACTGCTTTTTGTATCTTAACTTGGCTTTCGGTTATTTGTGTAGTTCAATCCCTTTATACCAGTTTGGTCTTTGTTTGAACAGGAACTCGAGATCACAGTCCTGCCCGTTCTGCCGCGGCAGCCTCAAGAGAGTGAGGTCTAGAGACTTGTGGGCTCTAATTACCAATGGCGAGATAGTCGATGCTGCAACTCTAGCGAAAGAGAACCTTAGGCGTTTCTATCTTTATGTCGAGAATCTTCCCCTTGTGATGCCCGAGACCCATGCCATTCTGTTCGATTATATGATCTGACTCGGCACAGAACTACCAGCCAGCCAGCCGTGTGTACATAGCATATGACCTGCCATGGCTGTTGGAGACATGTTCTTGGGGAGAGCTGTATATATAGCTAACAGAAACTGCATCAGAAAGCTTCAGTTTAACCAGGCTATGAAGTTTCGACATTGCAGCTTTGGAAGGAAGATTGCCTAAGCAGTCCAATCAAACCTGAAAATTATGCGGTAAGGCCAAATTAGATGTAAATAAATTGGAAAAAAAAAAAAAAAAAACGAGTATGGCTCAGCATTCAGCTCAGCTTTTTTGAACCTGAGTGTTGGAATGGAAAATTTGGCTACCCTTTATTATATGCTAATGTCTCAATTATATTGCAATATATATGAATCCCTTATCTTCGACTAGTTTAACTTGCTAACTGCCATTAGAAGGCTTAAACCCGACTTCTGACTCGATTGAGGAACGTCGATGTTTCTGCGAATCTTTTCCAGATCATTTCTTTGGTAAACTGGTTATGATGTATAGAGAAAGATTGAGAATGAGGGGTTGGATTTGCTTGCAGTTAACTACTGTTTCAAACTTGAATGAGACATGTAGTTTTGTGACTTGAAAGAGTTGATTGAAGGCACATTATGTCTAACTTGCAAGTGGTGAGTTATTAGTATATGTCTCATTAAATCTTTGGTTACCAGGTTCTGTGGTGAATGTGCATTAACTGTGCTCAGTTGGAAGTTCTTTTCACTAACCATTGTGGGATGGTCTGCAATGAACGGCCCAACCTGTTGGGCTGTGAGTCTGGTCCTTATGAAGATTTGGGTCTTGATGGGCTTTTTAATTTCTTAAAACATACCCAAATGGCCATATTATATTGGCCTAAGCTAAATGGCTTTTTATTTGGCACAGTTTAGCTGGTTAAACACTATTATCCACAATCACAACTCACAAGGTTATAGGATTGAGATATGATTATGAGGGTTTATTTTACTTTGTAGTTTGAACTCGAGAGAAAGGAATTGACTTGATGACATACAAACAAATTTATGCATTATTGACTAGTCCCTGTTTCAATTCCCCACGGTTAATACTTAATTTACGAGTAGCACGGGATATGGTATGTGTCTTATTTTAATATTTTCTCCTCGCCCTGTTATCTACTTATTCTACATTGATTTTCTCGAGTATTTATACCCTTACGCTACTTTGACGACTCTATAATATACTGTAGCCATAAGTTAGTGGGACTTTCTACTTCTAAGAAAAATTGGCTCATTAGTCATGTCATTCTCTTAGTTATGAACTTCGAAAAGAATTTTCCTTTTAGTTTTTTTGTATTTATACCCTTACGCTACTTTGACGACTCTATAATATATTGTAGCCATAAGTTAGTGGGACTTTCTACTTCTAAGAAAAATTGGCTCATTAGTCATGTCATTCTCTTAGTTATGAACTTCGAAAAGTATTTTCCTTTTAGTTTTTTTTTTCATGTAAAAATTGAGATATTAAATACTTCTTTTTCACATAGTATGTCGAAATAGGCTAGCTTGTCATGCCATGTGCTCGGTGCGAATATTACTCGACTTGATCCAGTCCCAACACGAGACGAGCTAGAGGGGGTTCCTTGTAGACGATTGTCTGTTTCAATGTTCAAATCGATAATGTGTTGAATTTTATCCCCCTATACACCCCATTTAAATGAGCCAAAACTGAAGGGCATATTCCAAATAAGAAACTACTTATTGCTTAATTCAGCATCTTTCTAGAGAATCCATAGTGAAATTATTAGTATAGTAAGCTCCATCAACTTAAAAAGGGGAGAAGGAAGAAATTCTCCACTTGTTTTAAACCCTTAAGATAGTGAAAATTGTTCTGATTTAAAATTCACAATATTTGAATAATTTTATGACTGGAAATCGAGAATATAGCCCAATTAAATTTAGACAAAGCAAGGGACAATATGAAAGCACATATGGAGCATCATAGGAGGCTATTTAGCAAGAGAAGCTACACTATATTCTATTAACCTTTTTGTTTGTATTAATTAAATAAAAAGCAAGCTTCCACTCAAGATAAGTTGCATGGAGTTCATCCACCTTGCTAGAATTATTTAAAAAAATTATTTTAGTAATCTTTTCATCTATCATGTAATCCATTTTCTTCTTCCCTCTTTCTTTTTCCCTAATAAGTAAATTAAAAGGAATTCCCTTTATGTTAAAATAAAGTTTATGATAGTGGGTATTTCCTTTTAAAGCCATTTTAAGCTCCTCAATACAATAAAAAATAAATAATTAACTCTTTTCCTACCCCACTCCTAAAAAGCAAACCTTTAAGCCATTCATGTCTTGAAACCTCAATTAGCACAACAAGCTCAAACCCTTTGGATGAACAGAAAAAATACAATAACCATTGACACACAATTATTGTTGTATAATGGCATCACTTATTTGATTAGCTACGAAGTAACATGCTTATATCTAAACCAGACGCCAAAACTCATTTCTTTTCGTTAAATTTTTATCTATGTACCTGGACATGAATTTAGTGCGAACAGAAAACATTGTTAAATTATTATAGTTATGGTGCTTAAAGAAGATGCTACCTTATCATCATACCATAACATTGGAGGCAATTGTTCATCAATTGTGACCTTTTATCTCTTTTACTTCCACCTTGCTTTTGGTTGGTTGTATCTTTCTTTTGTGTCCACAATCAACGATTGAACATGGCCGTTGTTTTCACGAGGGACAAAAGCTTTTCACCAATATAATTTATTCTTAAGTTTAGTGAGTGAGTGAGTGATTGATTGGAGTAATATATAGAATTTAGGGGCTTAGATCAGGAGATTGCATGTCATGTGTTGAGAGGCTCAAGGGCTGGAGTGACCAAGTTAGTGCTCATTTTTAAGTTTGTTGGTCAATAATCCATTTTAGAACATGAACATTTGCTTTGTGGGGGAAAGAAATGGTTTAGGTGTACTCTAGCTTTTGTGGAATTTAATATAGTAATACGGATTAAGAACACAAGAAAGGGTGCTGGAATTATAAGGGGTTGATTTACCATATGTTTTCATTGGTCATGAGTTCTGGCGTCAGACTTAGTAATGGATGTCAGAATTTTGTAATGGTTTCTGTTGTAGGCTGTAAATTAGTCGAATTGTTTATGGGCGGTTTGAAGTTTGGTTCGGGAAGATTTTATTCAATACACGGCCTTTGCTCACGAGCTAAGTTAGAGCTCAACATTATTCAAATTACAAGGCTTGTGAGGCAACTTGATTTGGTGGATTGTTAAACTCAACTCGTGACAGAGCTCATTTTGAGTTCATAAGTTAGCTCGACATAATTGCTAATTAGCCAGCTCAACTTACAGGTTATTTGTGACTCAATCTATCACTTATGAGTTGGCTTTAGGAATGACCAACGAGATAGGTCGGGGTGGTATCTTGTTATCCATACCAGCATCGTGGTAGGTCGGTTGCATGCCGTTTAATTTATTATGGGGAGCATGTCGACTCATATGTGTAATTAATTTAAAGGGAGAACATTAGAAACATTTACTTTTTCATTAAAAGAATCAAGTAACAAACTATAAAATAATAAATGTAGTTAAATTATTCGGAAAGTATAGGTTTTCACATATTTACAATTTTATTATAGCTAAAATTTTAGGCAATTAAAGTAAAATTTTAAGTGATTTGAGTAAAATCACATTTAGTTTAAGCAAAAATAGGTTGAGAATGGGGCGGCATTACGAGCCCCATAACAGATCAAACATGTCCGGTAAATTGGGTCAAGTCGAAACTGACATCTTTAGTTGGCTTGTTGATAATTCATAGACTTGTTAGATTCTATATCTCATCATATATGATGTTTAACTCTTTGAGTACGTGGACAGACATGTCTCATTTCTAATCTAAAAGAAAAATTAGGTATCATAGATTGCTTATATACTAATTACTTTAAGATAGCACGGTATAAATTAATTAAATTTATGAAATATCTAATATGAAACCAACAAAGTATATTAATACGAGATCAATTATTGATGAAAATCAAATATTATTATTTTTTCAACATTTTTTTGTCTTCTTCATCACGACATTAATCACATGCATCATATATGATGAAATATACCAACAAAGTATGTTAATTAGATTGAGTCATTCTCTGGTAGAGCTTGTGAGCTCACCTATGAGCCAAAATTTAGTCAAACTTGACTCAAACAAGAGCCAAAATTTCAATAAACGACTCGAACTTGACTTGTTTATTAACGAGTTGATCCGAAGTAAATAAAATTCTTGTGGAGAGTAGTGAATATGTTTAGGGTTCCATCTTTTGGTAGACGTCATAATAATGTGTGTGATTCGGCTAAATAGAATTCTCTAATGTGGTAAGTTCACCTAATTAAGAATTTCTATGGTATGGTTCTGGTAATGGGGAGTGAAAGGGATGGATTTGTCGAAGAGCACTTGGGACTTAGCCTGGCTTTGAACTTTAGTGAACTCTGTAGCTTTCAAGGGTTAAAAATTAGACACCTGTTCAGAGATTAAGTAATTAAGAAAGAAAAAGAAGATAAAAGGTGGTAGGAGTTTCTAGTGCAGCATCAATGTGAACAAAGTTAAACCATATTGCAGGAATGATTTAAGTCCCAAACAATGCTTAAGGATATTAAAATTATAAATCAATCATTGTCCTCTTACTCCATTCATTCTCCACTATCTCTATTTACGTTTTTTAACCACCAGTATAGTGTAATTTTATTTTCATGTTGTTGAAGGGTGTCGACAAAAGGGAAATTCTACTACTGGACTCATAAAATTGTTATTTGCCAAAAGATGTATAATATATGACTATGTATTTATCCATAATCAAATATGATGTCTTGATTTTGAGTGGAGCCAGATATATATAGTGAGATTAATTGTTTTTATATATTTTTAATTAGCTTGTAATTTTTTCTTTAATTTGGATTTCAATTTTATCCACAGATGGAACGAATCCGTTATAATCTACAACATGATATTTATTTTCAATATATGTCAAGAATTTTTTTTTACCACCCATGACCATTTGTATCACTCCGTATCACCTTTGCTTTTAACTCAAAATTTGAAGATTTTGCAGATAAGGAACATGGTCATTGTGAAATATTGTGTCCGCAATTTTCAGAGGAAAATTTCAGGATCAAATATATAAGCTTATACCACCCTGGTATAGAGTGATAACTAGTAGTAGAAGGTGATTGACACGCCAAAACACAACACCAAACTGCGACCAAGTGTAATCGCAGTCCGGAAATGCAGTAACAGGCAAGTTAAATTATCAACCCGGGGTCTAGATCTACTGCTTACTCCATGATTCTCTATTATCTAGCAAACTAGTTCGAGTGATTGTTGTGAAAAGTAAAAGCAACAAGAAAGTAGTAAATTGTTCGGTTTTCAAAGTCAGGAAAGAGTCACTCGGGATTGAGTCCCCCTAATTCCCTAGTTAGGTTCAATTGTAATTCCCTGGGTTGATTTACTGTTGATTAGACTGCGGAAGATCCGACAGTAGCTTGGAATCTCTTAAGCTGACCAAGCCCTCTTAGTCTAACTACCCGGCAGACGACTAGTCTTCACCGGGAAAGAAAGCTGAGGCTATGAACACAGAACTCCACTACTGGAATTGAATTCCAGTACAAAGCAGTAAACTGGCTAACTCTCGTATAGCCAATCTCCTACTATCGAATGAAGAGACTCTAACAACCTAATCAGATTCTATCTATCTCAGGTTGCAGCAGAAATTGAGAAAAGCTGATCAGACTCCAATCAATTCAATAAACATGCGTCATTCGATTAAAATCAAACAGTAATATCATCCAAGTCATTACAATCAAATCCCTAACACAAGGAACTAGGGTTCTTCATACCCAAGTGAGAGAAGGGTTCTACTCCATAGAGAGAGAAGAGAAAACAAGAATCGGATTAGTCATACTCATAACGATGAGGAAAATCTGCTCCAGGACGATGATT